TTTCAGACTTTTCATAGTCTTCTTTAGATATTGTTTTAGGTCTATTATCTGAGTAATTAGATGTTGAGTTCTTGTTAAAACTTCTTCTAATTCTTTTTTTGTCTGCTCTTCTCTTTTTCTTTTTACATCTACAATATCAATCTCTTTATCATAACTACTTGAGGTTTGAGTAATTTTATCTTCTTCTATATTATCTTAACGAATTAGTTTAGCTTGTTCATACTCTTCTTTTTTGTTTTCTAGTTTCCTTTTAGTTTCTTCATAGCCTTTCTCATAATCAAAAATTAAAGTATACTACAAGTTGCCTTACTCAAATTTTTCGAATATTTCTTTAAGATAAATATTTCTTCTAATTGACTATCTCAAAGATTTTTCTTTATAACTTGCATTATTTCTAAGTACTTTTATAGCTACTACCTTTACTCTTATGATCTTTTCCTCTTCACACTTATCTTTACTTGGAGCCCAAATACTTTTCTTAAGTGATGAGTCAGACTTATGATATTATATTATCTTCTAATTCTTCTGAAGTATCTGAGTAGAGGTTTGAGTTTAATCTAGAGACTTTTTTATTTTGAAATTCTTTAATGTCTTTTATTATATTATCACTTTCTTTGTTTCTTTTGCTTACTGAAATTTGTTCTTCTAATAAAGCTTGTTCTTCTTTTAAGCTATTTACTATCTCTGAGGAATTCATTTGATCTATTATTTCTACATCTGATTTGTTCTCACTCTTCTGTATTATTAATTTATCTTTTCTTACTATTATATCTTGAGTTTTTTGCCCTAAAACTATTTTAATTCTATCGATTCCTTCTGTCATTGCTACTCTTTCTATTACTTTCCTCTATTCTCTTACTACTATTACTATATTACTTTCTATTTCTAGTATCTCTGCAATCATTTTATCTATATAGTCTTTTAAACCCATTACTGCATTACTTCCTTCCACTATTATTTCTTTGCTATATTCTTTTATTGCTACTTCAACTAATCTTGTTGTCTTTAATTTGTTCTATATATTTTAAACTCTATATTCTATTAGCTTCTTCTATTCTTATATATCTATTCTTCTCTTGTTTCTATATATATTATATTTTGATTTGACTTTGCTTTTTTTGGGAATTTCTCTGAAATTTGTTCTATTTGCTAGTAATCTTTTTAGTTTTGATCTAGTATATTTTCTTTTTAAGAGTTAATATGTAACTAGATTTTCAAAGTCACATTTGTTTATTTACTTTATTTTCTATATAATTGTGTAATGTCAACTGATCTGCAATACAGAATATATTCAAATCCCCAGTTTTTAGAAAAAAGAAATAAATTTTCTAATATTTTTATATTATATATTTTTCTAAGGCTTCTTTTCTATTAAAATTTTGTTTTTCTGTTTTGTTATTTGTATTTCCTTATTCTCTTTTCTTTTTCTTAGTGACTCAAATATAGTTTTCTAATGAAGTTTTTAAGTTATCTTAGTTTTTTCTTCTGCTCCAAAAATAGTCAAAATAATCGATAGAGAGAGTGTTGATTATTTTCTGGATTGCACTAATATATAGCTAAATAATATTGTTTTTAAATAAAAAACAAATCTAAATAAAGCTATAGCATGACTGCTAAATTATATAAAAAAATTTCTTCTAATATTTATAATTATATAATGAATATATAATAAGCTATATATATAACTTTAATTATTAACGAATAAATCTTGATAAGATCTATGAGCAGAGAACCTGCATAGTAGAAATCCTGAGTTTGGTAAAGTAGTGAGAGAATAAAAAAAAGTAATAGAGAAAGCAGCAATAACAGAAGGAATCAATAGAGTTAAATTAGTTT